CCAGGACTCACTTGGGGTGGGTGGGCGTTGGGTACCGTTGGGTGCTGTGGTCCCTTTGGGCTGGAGGACACAGGGGTGCACCCTTGGGGGACAGGGACCCCGTGGGTTGGGTGGGCGTTGGGTTCCTTTGGGTGCTGGGGTCCCTTTGCGTTGGAGAACGTGGGGGTGCACCCATGGGTGCCAGGACTCACTTGGGGTGGGCATTGGGTACCTTTGGGTGCTGGGGTCCCTATGGGGTGGGTGGGCACTGGGGTGCACCCTTGGGTGCCAGGACTCACTTGGGGTGGGCATTGGGTACCTTTGGGTGCTGGGGTCCCTTTGGGTTGAGTGGGCACTGCGGTGCACCTTTGGGTGCCACGACTCACTTGGGGTGGGTGGACATTGGGTACCCCTGGGTGCTGGGGTCCCTTTGGGTTGGGGTCCCATGGGGGTGCACCCTTGGGGAACAGGGACCCCATGGGTTAGGTGGGCAGTGGGTTTCTTTGGGTGCTGGGGGGCCCTATGGAGTGGGGGGGGGCACCCATGGGTGCTGGGGGTCCCTATGGGGTAGGTGGGCACTGGGGTGCACCCTTGGGTGCCAGGACTCACTTGGGGTGGGTGGACAATGGGTACCCCTGGGTGCTGGGGCCCCTTTGGGTTGGGGGACGTTGGGATGCACCCATGGGTGCCAAGACCCCCTTGGGTTGGGTGGGCACCTTTGGATCTGGGGTCCCTTTGGGTTGCAGGACACGGGGTGCACCCATGGGTGCCAGGACTCACTTAGGTGGGTGGGCATTGGGTACCCATGGGTGCCATGGTCCCTATGGGGTGGATGATCACTGGGGTGCACCCTTGGGGAACAGGGACCCCATGAGTTGGGTGGGCATTGGGTTTCTTTGGGTGCTGGGTGGCCCTATGGAGCGTGGGGGGGCACCCATGGGTGCTGGGGGTCCCTATGGGGTGGGTGGGCACTGGGGTGCACCCTTGGGTGCCAGGGACTCACTTGGGGTGGGTGGGCATTGGGTACCTTTGGGTGCTGGGGTCCCTTTGGGTTGGGGGACGTTGGGATGCACCCATGGGTGCCAGGGACCCCTTTGGGTTGGGTGGGCATTGGGTTCCTTTGGGTTCTAGGGTGCAACTTTGGGTTCCAGGGACCCAAATGGATTGGGTGGGTGTTGGGTACCTTTGGGTGCCAGGGTCCCTTTGGGTTGGGGGATGTTGGGATGCACCCTTGGGTGCCAAGACCCCTTTGGGTTGGGTGGGCATTGGGTTCCTTTGGGTGCTGGGGTCCCTTTGGGTTCGAGGACATGGGGGTGCACCCATGGGTGCCGGGGTCCCTTTGGGTTGGGGGACATTGGGATGCATCTTTGGGTGCCAGGGACCCCATGGGTTGGGTGGGCATTGGGTTCCTTTGGGTGCTGGGGGTCCCTATGGGATGGGTTAGCACCTTTGGGTGCCGGGGTCTCTTCCAGATTGGGCACTCCCATGGGGGACAGGACTGTGGAGTGCACCCTTGGGTGCCAAGACCTCCTTGGGTTGGGTGGGCGTTGGGTTCCTTTGGGTGCTGAGGGTCCCCACGGGTGGGCGGGCACTGGGATCTCCCTGGGAGGGCACTGGGGTGCACCCTTGGGTCTTTCGGGATTGCTGGGCTCCGGGATGCACCCATGGGTGCCAGGGTCCCGTCGGTGTCAGCGGGCGCTGGGATCCCCACGGTGCCCTCAGCCACAGGGGGACCCTTGGGCTCTGAGGTCAGGTTGGACTTCGGAGTCCTTTGGGTGCCGGGATCCCCGTGGGGCACTTCGCCCTTTGGGGCACCCTTGGGTGCCGGCACCCCACGACCCCCTCCTGCCCAGCAGCAGTCGGAGCGGGCGGTGGGTGAGACGCGGGAGCAGCACATCGGGCGGGTGCTGGGCCAGGTGGCACCCAGCATGATGCTGTGCAGCCTCTCCGAGGTCATCTGCTTCTGCCTGGGTGAGCGCGGGCGTCACCGTGGGTGCCCCTGTGGGTGTCACCGTGGGTGCCCCCCAGTGGGTGTTCAGTGGGTGTCCCGATGGGTGTCACCGTGGGTGTCATGATGGCTGCCCCAATGGGTGTCACGATGGGTGCCCTGAGTTGTGCCCCAATGGGTTCATGCTGGGTGTCCCGGTGGGTGTCATGATGGGTGCTCAATGGGTGCTCAATGGGTGTCACCATGGGTGTCACGACGGGTGCCCAATGGGTGTCACGATGGGTTCCCTGAGTTGTGCCCGAATGGGTGTCACACTGGGTGTCCCAGTAGGTGCTCAGTGGGTGTCCCAGTGGGTGCCACTGTGGGTGTCATGATGGGTGCTCAGTGGGTGCCCAATGGGTGTCCAATGGGTGTCCCGATGGGTGTCACCATGGGTGTCACGATGGCTGCCCAATGGGTGTCACGATGGGTGCCCTGAGTTGTGCCCCAATGGGTGTCACGCTGGGTGTCCCAGTGGGTGACACGGTGGGTGTCACGACAGGTGCCCCAATGGGTGCCCAATGGCTGTCCAGTGGGTGTTCAATGGGTGTCATGATGGGTGCCCTGAGTTGTGCCCCAATGGGTGTCACGCTGGGTGCCCCAATGGGTGCCACTATGGGTGTCATGATGGGTGCTCAATGGGTGTCACGATGAGCGCCCCAATGGGTGCTCAATGGGTGTCATGATGGACATTCAATGGGTGCCCCAATGGGTTTCATGATGGGTGCCCCAATGGGTGCTCAATGGGTGTCACAGTGGGTGCCCCAAAGGGAGTCCCGAAAGGTGCCCCAAATGGGTGCATTGATGGGTGTCCCAAGGGATTGCCTAATGGGTGTCACATTGGGTGTCCCGTGGGTGCTGTGGGCGCCGTGTGGGTGCTGTGGGCGCCCCGTGGGTGCTGAGGGCGCCCCGTGGTTGCTGAGGGTGCCCCGTGGGTGCTGTGGGCACCCTGTGGGTGCTGAGGGTGCTGTGTGTGTGTTGTGGGTGCAGTGTGGGTGCTGTGGGCGCCCTGTGGGTGCTGAGGGTGCTGTGTGGGTGCTGTGGGCACCCTGTGGGTGTGCTGTGGGTGCCGTGTGGGTGCTGTGGGTGCCCTGTGGGTGCTGAGGGTGCCGTGTGGGTGCTGTGGGTGCCCCGTGGGTGCTGAGGGCGCCCCGTGGGTGCTGTGGGTGCAGGCTCGCTCTCCTCCATGCCCGCTGTCCGAACCTTCGCCCTCACGGCCGCCGTCTCCATCGCCTTCGATTTCCTGCTGCAGATGTCGGCCTTCGTCGCCCTGCTGGCCCTCGACGCCCGGCGGCAGGAGGTGCGGGGTGGGGGCACCCATGGGTGGGGGTGTCCATGGGGTGCCCATGGGGTGCCTAAGGGGTGCCCAGGGTGGAGATGGGGTGCCCGGTATGGGTATGGGGTGCCCAGGATGGATGTAGGGTGCCCACAATGGGAGATGGGGTGCCCAGCATGGATTTAGGGTGCCTATGGGGTGCCCAGGGTGGAGATGGGGTGCCCGGTATGGGGTGCCCAGGATGGATGTAGGGTGCCCAGGATGGATATGGGGTGCCTATAGGGTGCCCAGCATGGATTTAGGGTGCCTATGGGGTGCCCAGGGTGGAGATGGGGTGCCCGGAATAGGATATAGGGTGCCCAGTATGGATATGGGGTGCCTAGAATGGGATATTGGGTGCCCAGGATGGATGTAGGGTGCCTATGGGGTGCCTATGGGGTGCCTATGGGGTGCCCAGGGTGGAGATGGGGTGCCCAGAAGAGGATATAGGGTACCCAGTATGGATATGGGGTGCCTAGGATGGATGTAGGGTGCCTATGGGGTGCCCAGGATGGATATGGGGTGCCCAGGATGGATGAATGGATGTAGGGTGTCTATGGGGTGCCTGGTATGGATGTAGGGTGCCTATGGGGTGCCCACAATGGGATATGGGGTACACAGGATAGATTTTGGGTCCCTATGGGGTGCCCAGGATGGATATGGGGTACCAGGATGGATTTAGGGTGCCCACACTGGATATGGGGTGCCTATGATGGATATGGGGTGCCTATGGGGTGCCCATGTTGGATTTAGGGTGCCCAGAATGGTAAGGGGGTGCCCACAATGGGAGATGGGGTGCCCAGGATGGATATGGGGTGCCTATAGGGTGCCTAGTATGGATATAGGGTACCCAGGATGGGCTATGGGGCGCCCAGTGTGGGCTATGGGGTTTCCCATATGGGCTATGGGCTCCCAGTATGGGCTATGGGGTTTCCCATATGGCTATGGGGTTTCCAATATGGCTATGGCGTTCCCATATTGCTATGGGGTTTCCCATATGGCTGTGGGGTTTCCCATATGGCTATGTGGTTTCCCATATGGCTGTGGGGTTCCCATATGGCTATGGGGTTTCCAATATGGGCTATGGGTTTCCAATATGGCTATGGGGTTTCCCATATGACTATGGGGTTTCCCATATGGCTGTGGGGTTTCCAATATGGCTATGGGGTTTCCAATATGGGCTATGGGGTTTCCAATATGGCTATGGGGTTTCCCATATGACTATGGGGTTTCCCATATGGCTATGAGGTTTCCAATATGGCTGTGGGGTTCCCATATGACTATGGGGTTTCCCATATGGCTGTTGGGTTCCCATATGACTGTGGGGTTTCCCATATGGCTGTGGGCACCCAGCGCTCAGAACAGGGCAGGTGACCCCAGCACATTTGTGGTGCCCGTCCCGGCGCTATGGGGCGCCGACGCTGAGGGTGCCCCCCCCACCCCACAGGCCGGGCGCTACGACGTGTGCTGCTGCTGCGGGGCGGCGCCGCGGGGACATTTGGGGTCGGGGCTGCGGCTGCTGCGCCCCTTCATGAGCCGCTGCTACGTCCCAGCGCTGCTGCACCGCGCCGTGCGCCCCGCCGTGGTGAGCGGGGAGTGGGTGGGGTGGGGTGGGAGTGGGGTGGGTATGGGGTGAGTGTGGGGTGAG